ACCGTAGGAATTATCAACAATTACATCAGTATGATATATATCATAAAAGAAAAAGATCAGGGCAAAAATGCTTTAACGTAGAGTTTCCAAGAGTTTGGGCCAGGTGCAATTCTTCCAAATATAAAGGGGTCAATTGATAACTACCCTTAGTTTCCCAGATTTGGACTGATTAAATCCAAAATCGAAAACACAGAGCACCGAAATACACACAGAAGGAGAGAGATAAAGCATGTCGTCACCGGCGAACGATCCAAGGCAACCGTCAACGGCAAAGCCGTACAAGCCGACAGCGGTAGCTCCACAAGATCTTCCTATAGATTACTCCGGTTTTATAGCCGTGGTGTTTGGCGTTTTTGGTGCCATGTTCAGAGTGAGTCATTCCCCTTTTAAATTTGCATATTTTCAAATTTTTTACGATTTCATCTGATGTTATATTAATTGACATAGCTTAATATATGGTGATATGTTTTAAACAGTATAAGATTTGCTCGTGGCTTGCGATAATATTCAGCGCTCAGTCACTTGCTAACATGAGGAACTTTGAGACTGATCTTAAGCAGATCTCCATGGCAATGATGTAAGTACTTATAGTTTTTTCATGAGGATCTTAGACACGTCGTATAAGAATTTTTTGGACTTGCTTAAGTGTGTGCGTCTTATAACAAATCCACATTATTAATTCATAAGTTTGACCTTCACTTGGCATTTAGCTGTCTTTTAATCATATCTCGTTTGATTATTGTTGTGCATGATTTTATGGTTCTCCACCTTGGTAGTAACTTTATTGAATTGTTTACACACTAAATTAGTAGTTGCAAAGTCTCATTACTTCATGAGTTCTCTTTGATTTGTATTAGGGCTTGTTTTCATACAATTTAGCTCAATCGTGTGAAGAAAATGGACTCTAAGCTCATGTTCTTATACAAAATGCTAGTCCTGGGTGGTTGATTGTATGATCTTATGGATGTTGGCCTCTATATTCAAGATATGAAACTTCAGAATTTATTTCATTGAATGGCAATGGAA